GAAAGTTAGTAATGGGAACTAGTAACTCCTTATGCTAGCCATGTACCATGTTAGGTCGATCTCCACACGGTTCCTCCTGGAAACCATTGTGATAAAATCCTAGTGAATTTGTAACGTTGGGCACAGTGTAGGTACAATCACTACGTTATACTTCTCTGAAACTTAACGTAATATTAGGTAGAATGAAATAAATGTGAATTAAAAAGTATTGAACCCCTTAGACAAATTATATACAAATGATGTCATTACGTCAGAATTGCTATTTTATTTTAACAGGCACATTACACATTACATCATCATTACAAAGTATAATGATGTTGCACATTTATTGATTGGTAGGAATCAGGATAATATACAGTTTTAGTTCATAAAAGCATTATCTTCGACTCGTATGTAGTTCTGTTCTATAACTTAATATTTAATGTGATTATTGTGTAATATATAATAATTCCACTCTTACTCTTAGTCAGAATATTGATTTAAATCTACTTACCAACTATCCATTATAAAAATGTCCAGTAAATAAAGATAATGATAGATCGGACGTGTTGGCGGCGGTTACCACTTACCATCACATGAGCAGTCAGCTCGTTTGTCCATCCAAATACGTAAAATAAATGTAGATTGCCCATTCAATGGTCACACTTTCTGTGACTGCACTTAGTGTCCTCCCTCCGATTGATCCCCCTTTCAATTCTAACGGGGATCGAAATTAGAATGACCTGAGCCGAGGTTCGAACTCCTAGCGGTGCCCTCAGGCTAAAATCGCCCGCATCTGTCCATACGTCTGACGGTAGTTGCGCTTCAGCTACTCTATAAGTCCTTCCATTGGTTTAGAGTGCTATCTGCACTCGCCCCCTATCGTTCGGTGAAGCTATGAAGGCTACTGCGGCCAACAGCATTAGTATAGTCTGAAAAAAAAACTTAGTCCTATTTTGTATTTACATTCGAGTAAAATAAAAATAAAAAATGTATGTTTCGACTCCACAGTATTATTTGTGACAACCTGACGGCGAAGGGGTTGGGCGTAAGCCTACAGTGGCGGCTGTAATTTCTATGTAAGCATTGTTAGAATCCTGAATATGACTGGCTCGACATTATTTGATACTTAACATGACAGAAGAAAAAAATAAAATATGCATTATAATAAACACATATGAAAAGAAATGCTTTCTGGTGTCGCCTTTTTTTTTTATAACACAGGGGACAAACGAGCATGCGGCTCACCTGATGGTATGTGATTACCGCCGCCCATGAGCACCCGCAACACCAGGGGAATTGCAAGTACGTTGTCGGCCTTTTAAAAAGGAATAAGCTCTTTTCTTGAAGGTTTCAATATCGTATCTGTTCGGAAATACCATTGCTGGAAGGTGATTCCACAAAGTGGTTGTACGCCTCGGCATAAGGTAGAAATAATTATTTATATTTTTAGTACAAATACACAGACAATGAAATTTTAATATTGCATATTTAGGCTTAGGTTTCTTTGGGCAGGTGGAGTTACACTTAGGGATAATGTCCGAAACGAGCATATAAGGAGCAACTTCGGAATGATACTTATTACTTAATATTATTAATTTATTATATATTCGAAATTAACTTTCCACGACTAAACGCCTAATTTCATCAATATGATGAAATTAGATCATTAGCTTTGTTTTATCTCAAAATATGCAGAGAAAGTTTCGGGTAAAAGTTCTTAATAATATTCTATAACTATGTACGAGAATTTAATGAATCTATATTTTTGAATAAGTAGGAATGAACCTATAGAAACCCTAGGAAACTCTATTACCAACTTTTACAAAAATATTACATAATAATGTAATAGTTTTGTAAAAGTTGGTAAAAGTGGTACGAGTATTAAAATCTGTAGGTCGCAGTCATCAATCGCTATATGACTGAAAAAGTAGTTAGGTGAAAATAAATTTATACTAATCGGAGTGGATAGTATCGTCGATGATGCGGCCGCGGCCGCACGGGCGTCCCGTTCGATTCCCGAATTGTAGAACAATAAAATTAATTGAAATTTAATTATCAAGTCCAAATACTAGTACAATTACAAAGTGTGATAAACAAAAGACTACAGTAATATTTGAACGCGCAGTATTAAAGAATATTATTTTGAATAAGAATAATATAAGGTTACAAAATAAAATAAAATTACCAACTTCAAAAACGGTGGAGGTTCTGAAAACAATATTATTATAAGTCAAGTTCACATCTGAACTTTTTTCTAAATCAACCTTCAAGAAAAGTGTTTATTCCTTCTTAAAATGCAACGTGCAAGTGTTTATTCCTTCTTAACTTGCAATTCCCATGGTGTTGCGGGGGCTCAAGGGCGGCGGTAATCATTTACCATCAGATGAGCCGCAAGCTCGTTTCTTCCCAATGCTATAAACAAAAGAATATTTAATAACTATTGGTTCAGCCGTTAAGGTGTAAAATTGTAACAAACAAACTTACATTTTCTTTCGCAATATTACATAGTTAGGATGTAGCTATTAATTCTGCAGACAGCCTGAAGGCTAATGGCATCGATGTAGATAGTCCTGACCTGACCGTGACACCAGTACTTTCTACACCCCTCGCTTTCCCACGGGCCTTTATTTCCCGTGAACTCTGATGAATGTGCGAAACAAATGGGCATGTAAGTAGGTGGAAAGGGGAATTGAATAGAATAGAATAGAATAGAAAAGTCTTTATTCACATAAAGTTAAAGCACTTCTGAATAGTCATACTTAATATTTTAATTAACGCTCATTTGGAAAACTATCTCATCACAATTATTGTTGTAACTTCACATTTTGTGATGTGTGAATAGAAGCGACCAACTTTAGAACTTTTCATTAGAGTCATAACTATTGAATACAATCTACTGGTTATATAACTGATTAAGATTATTTTCATATCAATATATGTAATCTTAGTGACCAGAGCAGGCCAGTCTTAACAAGGAGTTTTAGTTAATGAAATTCTTGTCTCGAATAGAAATATAAATATTTTCCATTCAACACTGGTCCAGTTCCGGAGACAATAAAATTTCCACCGTAAAGAGACAAATTACATTAAATATTGTACCAATTTTTTTTTTCTTTAATATAAATAAAATTCTCTTAACATGATTATTCATTGCATTACGTAGTTATATATTATTTTCTATTTAGTTTACTTTTCATTATATAACCTCATATAATATTATATATGATATCTAGCGTATATTGAATGCGTCTATATAATTTAGCTTTTAGGCATACATAGTGTTGGATTACAATCCAGTATCCAGAACTACACGCTCCTAATTATAATGATTGTAATTTGTTTTGTATGCTAATAAATAAATAAATAATGATAATTTTACCTCCATTACTCCTTATGCCGAGGAGGACTAGAAACAAAGTCATCTATCTAAGTATAAATATTTTTTAATAGTTATATTAATTTAAATGGAAAAACAAATTTTGCCGGGTTACCTGCCCCATAAACGTTTTTATATAAAACTATCGACCCGGCCCATATTTTTCAAAATCTCGGCTTTCTCTATACTATATCACTCATGTATTATACATATAAACTTTTCTCTTGAATCACTTTATCTATGTCTTTGTTTTATACTATGTAAAGATTTGTTTTTATATAAATTCAATATGTAACTATATTTATTCGTAATTATAATTTCTTCATATAATTTTACAAAAATTGTTACGGTCTCATATAGATTCAATAGTCAATTAAATACAATTCGTTCCTTCATATAGCTACTTTACTTCGCGGAGTTATTTAGTGCAGAAAATGGCGTCTACAACGAGCAATATTGTGAAAATCTTGCAGCGTTGTAGGTACCCTGATCTTTCGTAAATAACACGGCAAATGCGATGAACTGCCAGCAATATTTCCTGATTAGACTTCCACTGGAGTTGGCTGAAAAGAAAAAGATCGCGCAGACGACGGCAAATGTTTTCTGATTTAGAAAATCTGTTCATTTTCTATGGCACCAGTATAATATATAGAAGATTAGAAGAACTAGCTGTAGAGAAAAGCGTGCTCAATTTATGATATATATGTATATATCTATACATATAAATAAAATTGGAGTGTCTGTTTGTAATAAACGTTTTTTACTACATGCAGATGAACATAAATACGGAACATACACCAAAATAACATTTTTTACAATTTTTGTCTGTCTGTCTATCTGTTTGTTCCGGCTAATCTGTGAGATGATTTTGACGGGATTTTTTTTGGCAGGTAGCTGATGTAATAAGGAGTAATTTAGGCTACTTTTATTGTAGAAAAATTAAGTTAAATTCCACGCGGACGAAGTCGGGGGGTCAGCTGGTATAAAATATATTATAACTATGCTTATATAAGTGTATGCATGACAATTTGTATTTTTTTCCACTCTTGCACCACTTACTCTATTTTTTTTGTAAATTTTCTCATTAATAAACATTCATCCATCTATCCATTTATATTCATAAATATACGCGATAGAAATTCTAAAAAATTTTACTTTGGTGTATGTACCGTATTTATATTCATATGCGTTTAGTAAAAAACGGTTATTTCAATATTACAAACAGACACTTCAATTTTATTTATATGTATAGATGTATAGATTAGTAAGAATCACGGGACCTTACCAAGTTTTATTTTTATTGAGTTCTCGATATTTCGCTAGCGTTTCCCTGGTAAACTCAATGAAAATAAAATGTATCTACCACGGGATCTATCCCGTGATTTTTACTAATTATACGTATAAATAATGATCGAGTCAAATTTCAAACAAAAAATGCGAATATTTTTTAAATAGTTGCAATAATAGAAAAATATAAATACACATAACAAAATACGAAATTATTTTAAAGATTAGAAAAATATATATTATAATATTTCAAAATTAAGTGAATTAAAAATAACTTTTCAAACATTTGAGTGTCTTAAAAAGAATAAAAAAAAGTGTCGTGAAAAAGTGTAGTAGAAATTGAACTGATTCCACTATGGGTTGTGGGTCATCAGCAAACGTGGTACCAGCTCAGGATGGAACAGCAAACGGTCACAAGCCGGCCAACGGACAGAACGGTGTGACAAATGGTCACACTGATAACGATCACGATGACTTACCTACTGTCGTGTTACCTGAGTCACCAATCAAACCCAAGCCTCGTAAGTACTTTAATTACAGTAGACGTATAATTAGTAAAAATCACGGGATCTTACCACCTTTTATGTTTATTTGCTGAATTCGTTTTCCCGACATTACTGATAAACCAGTTTACCCGTGATCATGGTGGTTGAAACACTGCCGAAATATCGGGAACTCAGCAAATAAATATAAAACGTGGTAAGGTCCCGTGATTTTTACTAATTTCATTATGGTGTCTATTTATTTATTTGATTCAGGCTACCTGGACCATGTTTCAAATACCATATAGACTAACTTACATATGAAAATCTAATAAAATATAGAAAACAATAGAATATATTACAATATACACATTAGAAAATAGAGTCAACGGGGACTACAACTAAGCATAATGCTGGAAACATAGTTTCCAGCGCTGATTTTCTGTTGGGCCCACAGTATGAATGGCGGACCACACAGACAATTTATACAAATATAAATTATAATATAATTATAGAAATATAAATTATCTGTGTGGTCACGGTACTGACGACGATAATCTGCCACGGTAGCGTCAATATACCATTTATGGATGTATTAATTATATATTAACTAGCTACTGGCCCCGGCTTGGCACGGGTGTACATGTATTATATATATAAACCTTTCTCTTGAATCACTTTATCTATTTTAAAAAAACTGCTTCAAAATCCGTTGCGTAGTTTTAAAGATTTATACATAGGGACTGACAGACAGCGACAGCGACTTTGTTTTATACTATGTAATGACGGTAAATAGACAAAAATTTTTTATACTACAGATAGCAGTCATAAATAGCATATTTTTATCCGACTTCGTCCGCGCGGAATATAAGAATAACAAATTTCCGTACAAACTTTCATCCCCTAGTTCATTTTACTCCCTTAATGTCATAATTTGAAGGTCAAATTTATTTATATTTAAACAACAGCCTAAAAATAAGCTTCAAACTAGCTTTAAAAATGTTGTTACTTCCATACAAACTTACATCCCCTTCCAACCAATACAACCGTTTTTCACATAAAAAATTAGCCTATGTCCTTTCTCAAGGCCTAGATTATCTGTATACCAAATTTCATTTAAATAGGTTCAGTAGTTCTGACGTGAAAGCGATACAAACAGACAGATTTGCTTTCGCATTTATAAGGATTGTTTGGCTGATAGAGAATGTCCATGGCCGTAAAACTAATTAATAAAAAAATATACATTATCGAAATTCCAAGTTTAAAATAACAAAATTACTTTCATTTCGCAATTTGTAATCTGTGAACATAGAAGCAATTACAGCAACACTGATCTTCATAGGATTCTCCTTAATTATCCAATTACAAACAGATTACGAGCATATGTTACACCTAAAAGAAGCTTAGGGCGGTCACTGAGATGACCTATATTATATATTGTAATATTAAGTATAGGAAACTATATTTGCAATATATCTTAATAATATAAACGTAAACGTTTGTGAGTATGGATGAATGTTTGTTGCTCTTTCACTAAAAAAGTACTGAACGGATTTTGATGAAACTTTGCAGTGCTATATTACTATCATACATAAGAATAATACATAGGTTAAAAATATCACAAGAAGGTGAAGTCGCAGGCACAGTTAACAGTAATATAAATTATAAACTAAAACCATTTGTCACAAAATATTAATTATTCAGCTATATTTAAAGAAATGAAACTATAATATTAAGAAGTTTATCAGGATAGATAAAAGAATAAATTAATGTTTTTGAATCTTATAACAACTACTAAAGTTCTTTTTTGTTTGGACAATTTACACGAAGCCAACTATATAGTCCCGAATTAAGCAGAGCTTATATTATGGGTATTATACTACTAATATATATACTTATATAATTAAATATATTTTTTGTAAGTACGTACATGATATATGTACATAGCAAATACACATACCTATAGTAACAATCTTACAGATGAATACAAATGTTTGTACCATGCGAGGAATCGAATCCGCGATCATCGGAAATAAAGCGCTGTGATACACCACTGAGGCCGTGACCTCGTCCTACATGAAAACATAAGATAATTCTTCGTTTAATTAATTATTAAAGTGCCTTATTATTTCTGATCAACGCGACTGTTGACTGGTAGAAAATGTCATCAGGTATTAAGTCCGTCATGTATAAATTTTTGTGTTCAAAAAGAATAAATAAATAAATAATTTTTACCTGATATAAAAATAAATCTTACAAACATTATAAATGTGGAAGTTTCTAATTGTGGATGGATGGATGTTTGTATGATTTTTCACGTAAATGCTACTGAACAGATTTTAATTAAACATTACAATAATATAGTTTATACATCAGAATAATACATATATAAATTTCACGCGGGTAAAACCGTTGGCAGAGCTAGTAATTAATAATTAAAAAAAATCGTTTATTCATGTAGGACATTTTAGCCGCTTATGAACGTCAAATATTTTGTATTATATTTTTATCCATGGATTTCATTGAAATAAAACAATAATATAGCTTATATGTCAGATTAATACATAGGCTACAAATTTTACGCGGATGAAAGCAAGTAACTAATAAAATTCTATTATTCTTTTTCAGCAATAGCATTCGAGATTCCTCTAGAAGAAATCGATGGGAACCGTCGCGACACCAACACGCCTCCACCACACTTACAGCGGCTGCTGCAGCCGCCCCAAGCAGAAATAAGTCTACCAGACATAGAAGAGAAATTAGCTGAGGCCGAACAAAGAAGATTAACGGTTAAAAATAATTATTTTTAATGCCGTCTCAATTTAATCAGGATTAGGTATACGCATCAATCTTAAAGTAATCTATACTAATACTAGGTGACCCCACAAACATTGTTTAGCAATATGAATTGAAGTACTAATATCGCTATAAAAAATGAGGTTGATGGTAGATAGGAGAAATTTTAAGGAAGTGCATTCAATAAGTATAAAACGTAAATAACTGGCTTTAAAAAAAATCTGTTGAGTTTCTTTCCAGTTCTTCTCAATTGAATCTGTATTGAAGTGAATGATAGAGAAAAATATTATTACAAAAAACTTGATGATCAAAAGCGGCTAAAATGATCAACATACCAATATAAATAAATGATTTTTGATTTAATTTGATTTATTTATGTTAAATCAGAAAAGAAAATTGATATCAAAAAATAAGATATAAATTCGGGTCTTAAATTATTTTTTTATACCCTTATCATTTAAGGCTATAAAAAAATAATTTAAGACCCATTCTCAGAGCTACTGTATATATACACATTTCTTAAGATTTGGTTAAGCCTTTTCCGAGGAGTACTACCTGCCGAGGTTTTCTCGAGAGACTACAAAATGGGGTTTTTAGGGTTCATAGGCTACATTTTGTGAGACCCGTGGTACCCCATCATGCGTTGCTACTCTTGAGGATTACGTTGGCATACCTTATTGCCATATAATTTTACTCCCATAGTGTATACCATATGTAAACTAAAATATTGGCTGTATTACCTATTTGGTGCAAAGTTATTTTTGTATTCTGTTCAAATTAACTGCAGGCGGATAAAATAGATGAAATTTCGTACAAAGTTTCTTCAGAAATAATATTAACAAAGTTTTTGGTATAAAAAGACTTCGCTCAAAGTTATATGGATCTAATGCTCAGTCTTGATTTCATTTCACAGATACTCCAACAACGGGCGGCGTCCGCTCAGAAAAGAGCGCAGAGGATGATGAGATCCATGCACGAGATGGACAGACTCGACTCGGAACATGTTAGTTATGTATCTATTAACTATTTTCTGATTGAAGCGGCAAACAAGCTGACCCACCTGATGATGGTACAAATATGAGTCATAAACAATACACTTAACAAACTCAACGACGTAGTTAATTAAGTTAAGAGTATTCGAGAATATAAAAACAATTAACGTTAACGATAATAATGTTTTTGTAGAAAAATTTTAAATCCATAGCACTGACAATATTATCTGATTACACTAATAATGAGTGCGTAGCGATTTCTATGTTGATTATCGCATGCCTCTTACTTGTTACACTGTAATTATTTATATAAAAAAAACATCTATTAAAAAGAGCAACACACAAGTTTCTTGCTCAGTCTTCTTGTGATGAATCTGCATTCCGAATGAGTGGTAGAATCAAAATATGACTACTCAAAAGTGCTTGTAATGAGTTTATTTGAATAAAGATTATTTCTATTTCTAAATTAATTTCAATTGTTTTTATATTAGTGTAGCTAGCTTTATATTAGTGTAACAAACAAGCTGAATAATAAAACAGCTTAATACATGGAAAGTGTAAGACATGAACAAATTATTACTTGTATATTTTATTAACATCCTGGCTTCGCAGGTTTGCATTACAAACCTTTGAATTTCTCGGCTTGTTCTATATTATAATATGCATGTATTATGCATATGAACCTTTCTCTTGAATCACTCTATCTATTGCCGAAAACTGCATTAAAATTCGTTGCCTAATTTAAGATATAAACGAACAGACAGCAGCGACTTTGTTTTATAATATATACAGATGACAAAGACTGTTGTCTGTTGAAATATAAGAGTATATTTCAATTGTTTTATTATCTTTTTAAATATTTATACATAAAGGTTTTAAAAATAAAAAGCAAAATTATGTGACGTCTCTATAAATTATCGTATAACATAATTTTGAGATAAGCTCACCCTTGTACATTTGCCTTATTACTGCTATTTTCTTATGTGTGTGTACAATCTTCACAAAGTATAAAATAAAGTCGCTGTCGCTGTTTGTTCGCTTATATCTTTTATATTACGCAACGGATTTTATTGCAGTTTTCAGGAATAGATAGAGTTATCAAGAGGAAGGTTTATATGTATAATACATGCGTGTTATAGTATGGAACAAGCTGGGAAATTTACAGATGTAATGCATCTATGCGAAGCTGGTTCGCCAGTAAAGAATATAGTATATAAACAATAATATATATATATATACAAGTCTGCAATTTTTTTTTATTGGAGAGTTTAGGCTATTGACAAGTGTTTAGACCTGTAGTACTGCGATCTATATAGATCTATTGTGCTTGCCCTTTTTCAGAGTTCGCTACCTAGACCCGTCAAGGACGAGAGTTGAAGGATATTCTTAGGGGCGATGGTTTTTATCTCCTCAGGATAGAGTTTATACTTTCCATAGGAGATATTTCGTTTAAGCATAAGTAAGCTACAACCACATATGCTGTGTAGTAGCGTTTCCAGTCTAAATATAACAATAGCATCTATATTGATTTGATTTGATTTAAACTACCAGTTAGAAGTTTAAAACAATCAGTTAAATTTATATGCACGTTTATATTTCAGGAAGCTACCGACGCCTCCAAACACAGCATCAATACCCTAAGAATTCCCCCGGAGCCAGGGGTTTGTGAAGACAAGAATATCACATAAAACTTTATAATTGAATTTCGACTTTATATTAAATAGATTTATATTCAAATTAGTACTATAAATAAGTTGTACATTCGACCTTATTCATAAAAAACGTCCATACCAACACATTTTAACAATAACTGTTGTGATACAACAACTAGAGGGATTCGATGGTCCAGCAGTTTTAGCCTTTTTTCCGATAGTTGCCAGTTCGATTCCTCGCACTGTACAAATATTTGTATTCGTGAGTTTGATTGTTTGTATTGGTCTTGGTGTTTGATATGTATAATCTGTATTTACAAAAAAATGTATTTAAGTATTTCTAACAATTCTCTAGTACCCATAACACAAGTTTTGTATACCTTGGGACTAGATGGCACTGTGGAAATTGTCCTAGGTTATTATTATATAATTACTGTTTACATGAAAAATATGTGATAGAAAAGATCATATCAGTTCAATATCTAAAATAGTTTTATTACAATTATTTCAAAATGAAATGAATCTGCATTTTTCTAATAATGTACAAGCTCATTTGAAAAGAATAAGAGCTGAGTTTCTTGACAATTCTTTTTAGCTTGAAAGCAGACAGAACTGGTGGTAGATTTGACATATCGTCAGAGTTTGTAATGGACCTACTATACTATACTGCTATATTTTGAAAATTGATTGATTAAATTTGAAATAGTTTTTTATCGAAACTATTAAGATTTACAGAGTAGCCTTTGTGCGTACATCTATCCCTCCTATTTGAGTCGCAAATTACTGTCCAAGTTCAATGGGAGATATGGCAGTAAAATTACAGTGTACGAAGTCATGACACCTTCCGGAATGGTAACTCATGAGCGAGTAACACAAATGTCACATGATTGCGTGAAGTGGTGGCTATGGTCCTTCAATCCAGTTTCAAACCAGTTATATATATTTTTAAGTATGTTTTTTTATGAATAAGGTAGTATTTAACATATATAACATCATATTGTGTGTTAATAATAATATAATAATAACGAAGTGATAATTTGCCTTTCTGCTGTATACTTTACAATGTTTTATAAACAGATTATAAAAAAAATTAAATTATATAATATAAAAGAACTTTTTTTATGATCAATAAATTTTTATATATATGTATATCTAAATATATATTTATGTGATATACATATATACATTATGGGAACCATTTAGATAAATTTTAGTAGGTAGGTAGGTAATGATATTAAGCATAGTAAATATTTACCTGATTTTTTAAATTCTTTTCTTTACAAATATTAAATTAATTCCTACCTCTGTATAAGAAGTATGATAAAATAGAAAAATGTATAGTTTAAAAAATCTATGTATGCGCTATTAAATTTTTGCTCAAAAAAGGCGTCAGATGATGAAGTGATGTTTTTCATGTACATTCACGTGAGTGGTACCACTTACCATCAAGTTATTCGCCATTTCAATTACGTAAAACAAAAATAACTGTATTTTTTTACTATTCCAGAGACAAAAAGAAATCAACGATTTCTCGGAAAACTAAATCGTATCGTTAACTTTAATGATATATTATAAATTTCTGAGAAATCGTTATAAATTATGTATGCCCATTATGACACAAGTCATTCTGTACAAACAGTATTAGTGTAATGAATTTTAAAGCCAACCTTAGCTTTGGAAAACAATTTGCGTGCCTCTCTGCTGTATTTCCCCGGGGTATTTGTGCGCTCGGAATCAGTACGGCTGCATTCAAATAGGGATGTACTGATACCAGATATCGATACCTATTAAATTATGATGGACTTGTTGGTTCAGCGATTTAACACTATTCTTTCACCTATTTCCGATGGTCATGGGTACGATGATATAAAAACAGATAAATATATATGTGGGATTATCGCGAGTGAGGCTTGAAGAAAAGTTTAATAATATTTAATTATTTATTTTCGTATTGAAAACGTCTTTACATCGTCTTACGTCGTTCTGTCAACTCTTAAAATTCTTTTTTTTTAAATAACACTATAATAAAAATGAAATGTATATACATCCTCTTTCTACATATATGCAAAAATAAATCTATACATATAAATAAAATTAGAGTGTCTGTTTGTAATAACTAGTACTTACTTCATTTAGTATCTTATTATTGTACATTTCGCAAGACCTTTTTTAGTCCACTAAATATATGATTTCGTGTCATTTTTCTTTTCCAAAGCCTTTTTTAGTTGGTTAAATATACCATTTTAATCAAAATGGTATATTATGGTAAAGATTTCTCTCTTCACTTATAATAATATCAATCAGTTTTAATTCAAAACCAAGCCGATACCGAGTATGTACATGCCGAAAATACTTAATATAGAAACTAAAGTATCGATATTTATTCTTGTTTACTTGTATCGGAACATCCCTAGACTGAATTTACTTTGTCATACGGAAAATAATATAGTATATAATACAACGTTTTCATGTTGCAAACTGTATTAAGTTCAAATTTTTTATAGTTCTCCTTTGAAATGTTTTCCTTTATAGTAGATATTTGTATTGACAGCGTCTTAGTCTAGTCTTTTACAACCATACTTTGATCACAAATATCGTGAATTGAATTTCGCCGACACTAAAAATTTTGGGCGTCAATATACATTTCTCACTAAATCTCCAGTGATGAATGCACCGGAAACAACGTTTATTTGCAGTATACTCCAAAAAGTGTGTATAAATATTTGTACGCATCCTGTACGGGAGTAAACTTAATCATTACATATTAACGTTAAATTTAATGAAAATTTACGTGTTTTTGCAAAGATAATGTTTAACATAAAAATGTAGTTACGTTGTACATGTAGTGTACATTTTGGAATATAATCGTTCGAGTAATATGCTAGACAAATTATATAAATACATAGATCGATTTTGCTATTTGGAATAAGATTCATAAACCAAATCAAATTTAGAATCTATTCCATGCCCGAGACACTTCTATTTTGCTATTTCGCATGAAATTAATAAAGTAATTCAAATTTCGAATCTATTCCATGCCCGAGACACTTCGATTTTGGTATTTAGCATAAAATCTATAAACGAATTCAAATTTCTAATCTATTCCTTGCCCGAGACACTTCGATTTTGGTATTTAGCATAAAATCTATAAACGAATTCAAATTTCGAATCTATTCCATGGCCGAGACACTTTTATTTTGGTATTTGGCATATAATCAATAAATCAATTTAAATTTCGAATCTATTCCATGGCCGAGCAACTTTTATTTTGGTATTTGGAATATAATCAATAAACCAATTTAAATTTCGAATCTATTCCATGCCTGAGACACCTCGATTTTGCTATTTGATAAAATTAATAAACAATTCAAATTTCGAATCTGTACCATGCCCGAGACACTTCGATTTTGCTATTTGGCTGTAATGAATGACTCGACTAAATTTATAAGGGTCGGTATATAGGTGACCCCACATCGAGGTCACCTGACAGAAAACGCCGGCTTGCACCTACTTTCTTGCCAAGCCAGTCATGCTCTACTTAATTTGTATAGGAATTTTATTATAATCATATTAATGTCTATATGAAGTCGCTACAATTGAAGTTGCATACAATATCTTTATAACAGACGGCCTCGGTTGTCTAGCGGTTTAGCACACCGCTTTACTTCCGATGGTCGTGGGGTCTATTCCACGCACGATGCAAACATTTCTATTCATAGTTTTTTGTATTAGTCTGGGTGTATTCTATATATACATATATATTAACAAAAGAAACTAAATCGAAGTATTTATATCAGGTGTCTAATACCCATATCACAAGTTATGCGTACCGTAGGACTAGATGGCGCTGTGTTAATTGTCCAGGGTAATTTATTTATTATCAACTGCAGTCTTAGATACAAATTATACCATTGAGAATCTTCTATTTTTTTAAGGCAGCTATAAATATACCACATATGTAGTTCTGACGATAGTTACGACCCGAAGGATCATTTCTCCCTAGCGACCAGCGTTCAGTTTATCCGGGATTAACTTACGATCGGGATTATAAGGATCGATACCTCGTCTCGTCTGATGCAAGACGAATAGGTATACTTTAACTACAGTTCGATAAAGAGCATTATTTCTTTCATCTATTACGTTACGTAGAATTCTTAATTCCACAAAGGAGATGCTTATTGATCCGCTCTATTTTTTATACCTCTCTCAGAACTTCATATCGGATGATTTTTTGCCGTTCCGAGATAATCTATGATAATATTATAAAGAGATGAAGCTTTTTAGTTTAGTTAGAAACCACATTGTGGAGTCTTTCAGCAATGGTATTTCCGAACCGATACGATACGATTGAAACTTCTAAGAAAAGAGCATATTCCAAGAGTTTATTCCTTCATAAAAGGTCGGCAACGCACTTGCAATTCCCCTGGTGTTGCGGGTGCTCATGGGCGGCGGTAATCACTTTCATTTCCAATTTCAACTTAAAAATGTAAAGTGTTAATTTTTTTAAAAAGCAATACGCAAGTACTTGTGACAGTACTGTAGACAGTGTCACGAATGAGCGGTAGATTAGAAAATAAATACGACTATTTTTTTTTAAATAGCAACACGCAAGTTTCTTGCTCGTTCTTCTTGTGATGAGACAGCTTCTCGAATGAGCGTTAGATTAAAAATAAGTATATGACTTTTTTTTTAAATATCACATCTATTTTTTTCCAGGTTTCCCCATGAGCGGTAGATTAAAAAAATAAATCTGATAATTCAAAAGTGCTTAAATTTAGGTTTAATTGAATAAAAACAATTCTATTCTATTCTATTTCCATCAAGTCGCTAGCTTGTTTGTGGAGACAATGCATTAAAAAAAAGTTTCAATGTTCTGTATCATCATCATCATCACCACAGCCCAGAAGACGTCCACTGCTGAACAAAGGCTGTCCCGGATCATATCCGGTAGTTATTCACAATTCTACTAAATGTTTGATACAATGCATATACCATTCAATAAACACAATTTCCATTAACTAAACTCCTGGGTATAGCTGAAACTCAGTGTTTGCTCCCTGATCAAACACCAAACTGAGCTAAGATCTGTTTACACTGTTGCAACAAACAGATTCAGTAACATATGTACACACATTATCTGGCTTTGTGGTGTTCACATGTTTATTTTTAATTCATTTAAGTTAGTTGTAATTTTAATTATACATTTTATTTATTCTGCATCTATTATCCGCAAATTTGACAGCCTCAGTGGTTTAGTGGTTTAGCACATCGCCTCATTCCCAATGGTAGCGAGTTCGACTCCTCCCATGGTACAACATTTGTATTCATGTATATGATTGTTTTTATCGGTCTGGGTGTTTTCTATGTATATTATGCATGTACTTACAAAAAAGGTATCTATGCTTTTATATCAATGGTCTAGTACCCATAATGCAAGCTGTGTTTAGATTGGGACTAGATGGCGCTGTGCCATTGTCAGGCTGATGGGTCACGAGAGGTCATATACGATGATATGTTTGTTTCTGGCTGATAATGCCGTGGTGAAATTCTTGTAATATAATATATTCTTGTTATAATAATTATAACAGCTGGTAATAAAACGAACAATTCCTCTGACATTTTTATTATGTCGACAAGATTTGAAATTACTTCCTTTGAGCTAGAATAATAATAATAATCTCAAGACAATTCACACAGCGCCATCAAGACCCAAGATAAGATAGATAAAGCTTGTGTTATGGGTAATAGATAACGGATACAAATACATAGATACATATTTTTGAAAATACATATATAATAAATGTAGAAAAACACCAAGATCGATACAAAC